ACTGAATGAGACAGGGGATTGGAAAAGAGTCTGGTTGTAAAGCAGAAAGCTTCTGTTTACTTGTAAATATCCAAGTAACCAGCAACACAGGACGTGCCCTTTTGGCTAAGATCAAGCAAAGGATCAGCTTATCTGATGCAGCTTCATTCTGGAAGGGCTGGCAGGAGGCACAAGGGAGGGAATCATCATTAGACCAAATGATCTGAGATGTGTCACCTCTCTCTAAATGCCATAGTCCTATAACTGGTGCATGGCCTGTGTCTGAGTCAGTGGTGAAATCATGCATGTCATAATGTTCCCCTTCGAGAGTTACAGTGCTCTTTAACTCAGGAATGGAATTGCCGTGTCTATTCCACAAGCTGGTTCTGGGAAGCTCAGTAAAATCCTCATCCCGCATGCCTGCTACTGTGATATGGATTGGGCCTGCCAGCTTCCTGGTTAATGCTGGCACAGACTTTCCAGTATCAACTCTGGGATTCTCTGCAGAAAAGATCCCCCCTGGAAAGGCAGTGTGATACAGGGAATAGGGGAGTGGAGTGAGACAGAGTAGAGCATAAATGTTGCCCCCATTACACTGACTTCACTAGGCATAAATCCAATGCCAGGTTATATGCCTAGCTCTGGCACAACCTTGTTATGTGACTACAGGGAAGTGACTGCACCTCTCTGTGCTTCTGGTTTCCCTTCTTTCGTATTATTTAGACTGTGACTTCTTTAGAGTAGAGAAAGTCTTTGTACCCAGCCTTCATATAGTGCTTACCAGAGGAGATGACCTAATCTTTAAGCATTATCAGAAGATATGTAAGATGTTCTTCTTCTGGCTGGCTTTGAAATGCTATTAAAAGAAAGTTATTTTATGCAGAGGGTTTTACTGCACTTGCCTCAGTAACACATAACTGAAATTACTTTAAAAATATTAATATAATGTATTATCACAGCTTAATATTGCTAAGTGATTTTCTGCTGCCAGGCATAATATTTCAGACCGTTTGCCATTTGGACTGCCCATAAGCAAATGCAGGAGCAAAGAGAAGCTCTGAGTAGATTTACAGATGAACAGGAGCTGATGGAGAGATACAGCTCTACTTGCTCTAACTGGAGGACAGTGGGATTTGTGATGCAGATTTTCAAAAAATATTCCTTCTTCATAGTCCAAACTTTCAACTTGTTCTGTCATGGGTTGAACAACAGGGGGAAGTCTGTTAAAATGTTACCAATATTTGCCAATTTTATTTTTTTTTTAAATCACATTTGACCATTACTGCTAGCTGTCCTTCGCAGGATTTAAGTGAAACTGGAGAAGCACGGAAATAAGATGACTCTTGGTATTCCTCATATCATCGCTAGATGGGGCTCTGTGGATTTCCTATTTCCTCCGAAACAGCCAGGCTAAAAAAGTCAGATTGAATCCAAAGTTGTCTTTAATAATCCATCTTAACTCAGCTAAATTGGATCTTCCAAATCCTGATACTATTTTCCCTTTAAAAAGAACTAATTTATGTCTTCGGCTTCCTAGGAATGTGGCTATCTGGAGGTACAGTGTCATTGTCATATCTAGATGTCACTGTAAACAAATTGCAAAGAAAATAGTAAGGATCCCCACAGCTTTTAAAAAAATAGAATAATAGCTTTTAAATATGATAGTTTGTGATTCGTCTATAGTCCCACAGTTTTTTTCTTATAGTATGCATCTCACACCAGATCCTGGGGTGTTTACAGAGCTTTTACTTAGAGGAAATTGTGGCTGTGTGCTTAGTGAAGTAGCCCTAAGTGAAAGTGCCCATCCAGCCCAAGAGAAAGAGTGATGGGCTGGCTCAAAGATAACTGCCGGTCACAGACTTGTTTTGTGGCTGTGCAGTTCACTCTGGGCCTAATTTTCAGAGGTGCCAAGCATCCACAGCTTCCATTCATGTTAGCTTGAGTTGGAAAGTGTTTAGCAGGTCTGAAGTGGACATCCCAAAAGAGAGAGTCCTTTGGAACGGTTCGGGAAAGGGTCCTTTGGAAAGTTTGGATCATACTGGCATAAAAGAATAGCTCCGTGTCTTCTAATAGGGAAAGAAAATCCCTACTATCTCTAAAGTATGATCCCTTCAGAGACATTTCCACTGCTAGCCGTTGCTTTTAGGAGGATCCTGTCCTGTCGTGATAGCACCTCTTTTCTTCCCTGTGGAAATGCGCATTTGTTATCTGTACACTAACTCAAGAGTGTATCTGGTGCCAGAAGTTTTGCCCCCCACAAGAACTAGTCTGCAGCAAAGCTCTGAATAAGCAATCACAAAGAAATCCAGCATTGGTCTTGATTCAGGAATCTCTGGATGAAAGTCTCTGGCTTGTTTTATGTAGGAGGATCACAGAGGCCCCTCAGATTCAGATTGTAAGGCCAGAAGAGACCTTGGAAGATCATCCGGTCCAGCCCCCTGCAGCAAGCTGGGAAGGTAACTGGGGGTCAAGTGACCCCAGCAAGGTGACTGTCCAGTCTCCTCCTGGCCTTGAAACCTCAGAAATCCATCCACTCTAAGTGGCCTACTGAGGAGTGAGCTTTTTCTCACCCAAGTTCAGTGGATTCCTTGGAAATGCTGTCATTTCTCCTTTTCTCTGCAGTCAGTGAATAAGTCTGGGGCTCTTGCCAGGATCCCACAAAACTTTTATATCCCTTTTGCAAGCCCAGTGCCACAATCAAAAGAGATACTACTATTTTTAAGACAAAGACATCATGGTTTTATTAAAAGCCACTACAGTTTCTTTACATTAGCAGTTAAGAATACAATACCCAAAATAGCCACAGTCTCTTCACCATCCCTTACAATCAGCTGCCAGCAAAAAAGTTCCATCTATTTAATACATTGCTTCTATTTCATTAATTAAAAGAATAGCAAATACTCTCTCTACATACATTCAGTTTAAGGCTCAGCTCAAGCAGAAGGAAAGGTCAGAACAGGGGAAGGGCAGAGAGTGCAATGGACCCTCCTTCAAGAAGCACCTTGGCACAGATCATGGTTAGGGACCTACTTAAATCATGGTTTCGCAGAAGCCACAAAAACCAGTGATCTCCGCAATCACTGTGAAAATGGCATTGGCCCTAGGCAAACACACTCATGGGCCCCCAGTTGAAGATGAAATTTTTATTTTACTTTTTTCACTCAATGATTATGATATGTAAAATAAGCACAACTGAGCCCCTTCACTTAGGGCCCTATGCATGTGCCTAGTCTGCCCATACATTAATCCGGCCCTGTTCATGCACTGGTAATGTGAGGGAGGATTTGCTTAGGAAGTTGCACCTAAAGTCACATATAGTCACCAAGTAGTTGCTTAACTAATTTTGGCTTTGGGGAAAAATTACTTGGAGAAGGTTAAAAACAATTAAAAAAACCAAAACAACCCCCCCAAATTTCCATTTCATATTCCAGAGGAATGGGAGCAGTTCAAACCATGATTAGGGACCTACCTAACTCACAGTAAGAGAAAGCAATTTTTTGAAGCTTGGTCGTGGCAAAAAAGCCAATTTTGTGGTCATTTTGCAGTGGTCCTGCCCCTTGGCACTGATGGAGGGATGATGGGCAGCCACCATCTTGACTGCTGGCTGTCTTCATGTGGCCCTGACTCCCAGCACTGATTGGCATAGAGGCATAAGGAGGCAGATGCTATCTTGGTTACTGCTCTTCATGTGCCACCCTGCCAGCCAGTGCCCCTCCCTCCTGGGCAGGCTGTAAAACCAGGCTTCAGCGGCAGTGAGGGCCACTGGCTCCCATTGAGGAGCCAGCATTTTATTTTTTATTATGTTTTTTGGGGTTGATTTCTTGCAGCCAGCTCCAAGCTGGTAAGTAGTAGGGGTGGAGGAGGAAGGAGGGGACCATGGGGGGACCCCTGCCAGCCCCCACAAATCCCCCCACTCCCCCCCCATGGCTGCCCCCC